CCCGGACGCCCCCCGCGCGCGGCCCCGCCGCCGCCTTGCTCTCCGCTTTTGTCACTCGGCACTGGGCGGTGGAGGCGGCCATCTTGGCTCCGGCGCACGCGGGGCGGCCGCCCCAGGCGGGAGCAGCCGAGCACCGAGCCCCGCCACCGCCGAGCGCGCTCCGCCCCGCCCCTCGGGGCGCGCCCAGGGTGGCCTGACGAGCGTCGAGCGCCACGAGCGAAACGCTCATCTAGGCCCTACGGGCAGGCGGCTGCAGCCGCAGGCAACCGCCCGACCCCCACCGCCACCACCGCTCGCCAGTGCATGCAAGCTGCGCGCTGAGCGGCTTCCAACTGCAGCCCCAGCCCGGGCCCTGGACATCCGCACGGCTAGGATGGGAAACCTCCGGCCACTCGCATCCCCCTTGACAGCATCCAGACTGCTAGAGCCCAGACGTGCAGAACCAGGACTGCCCCAGGACTCGGCCCTATTTACTTCCGAGGAAGTCTCCCCCTCCAGGTCGGGGATTCTGCAAGACACCTGATCCCCAGCCACGAGGATTCCCCCCAACATCATCCTGTCTTCCAGCTGTCCCCCAACGGTGCTGTCCCGCAGTCCTAGGGAACTCCCACAGCCGGCACCACATTCAAGCACTGCCAGCTTCTCCCTCCCCAACATCAAACCAATTGTCTCCAGCTGTTCCTTGACAGCTGGGTGGGGCCAGAATCTGACGGTCGCCCCGCCCCCAACCTGGCACCCTCCCCCTCCAGCCCATTTGGGGAAAGGGGAGAAGCTTCTAAGGACAGCCATGCAGGGCTAGTGCCCAGACCTAGCCCTAATCCAGTACATCCTTACTCAAGTCAAATCTTCCAGGCCCTTTCCAAACATTCTTTAACCCCCACCCCCACCCCACCCTCCAGATGTTCACTAAAAGACTGTTCATAACTGTCCTTCCCAAGGACAAGGCCAGGGCAGTGCTAAACCCACCTCCTCCCATCCATAGGCTCACACCTCTCATCTCAGTGGCTACTAACTGCCTCCTTTGCCCCCAACCATCCTCAGAGCTGGCTCTGCCTCCCAGCCACCCCTGAGACACTACAAACCAAGCCAGGTGGGTGAGCTGAATGCCTGGGGGCAGCCTTTAGCAGAAGCAAGAAGCCTGGAGTCAAATCTCCACTCTGCCTCTCCCTGAGGTTGTTACCTCCACCAGCCCCTATCCTCTCTGTGCCTCCCCACCCTCCTCTGTGCAGACTCCTGGATGTCCTTGGTCTTCCTAAGTTGGCTTGTGAATGGGTGCGAGGAAGCCCAGAGTACAGATCTAGGTAGGACCTTGGAAGCTGCAAGTATGAGAAACATGGAAGGAAGCCCCAGGCCCAAGGCAGCCTCAGGACGATTCTCCCTGTTCAGACACCATCCATTCCTCAAAGCCCAGCTACTCCTCTCAGCCAAGTTCTCTGCCTTCTAAGGGCTCCCACAAAGGCAGGCCTTGCCTCAGGGTTTGCAAGCCTCAGTCTTTCACTTTCCCACTTCCTCTGTGGTGCCCAATCCTACGCTCCTTCACCAAATATGACTTCTGGAGTTCTCCAACTATCCTCCACTGGAGACACCCCCAAAGAAGGTACTCAGAAGTCCAGCTCTGCCACTGTGTGGCATATGGCAAAGCAGATGACACACGGTTTCCTTAACCGTAAAATGGGAACACAACAATCTTAGCTTTGCAGACTTGTTATGAGTCATAAGCGAGAAACGAGATGATACCTTAGTACATGGCGAGCGCTCGATTACGGGAGGGGCGATTCGGTGCTGCCAGACCAAGCAAACATTGGTTGTGAATCTAGATTCTAGAGCTGTGCTGTCCAATAGGACTGCCACTAGACTGGCATGTTTCAAGAGCTTAACAGCCACATGTGGCCAGTGGTGACCCTATAGGACAGTGCAGACATCTAGAGAATGTTTCTACTCATCATTTTAGTACATTCTACCCAATAGTGCTTCTCAAGATAAAAGACATCATTCAAGAACAAGTAAGCTTGACTGCCTGGGTTTCAAATCCCAGCTCCACCTCTACCAGCTGTGTGCCTCAGTTTCCTCATCTGTAAAATGGGAATAATAATAATACCTGCCTTATAGAGTTGTTGTGAGGATGGAAATGAGCTCATGTTTGTGAAGTGCTTAGAACAATGTCTGGCTCCTGGTAAGAGTTCCATGAGCCTTTGTTAATGTCACCATCAGGAAGGACAGGGAGAAACTGGATCCAGAAAGAGCCCCAGCCCGTCCCCTAAGTAAAACAGAAATGGCCCCTAAGTGGCAGGGTGGTTGTGAGGAGAGTTGTCAACATACTTTGTAAAGTGATGCTTCCAGGAAAGCAGAGTGGCTGCCCCTCTACCCCCAGCCCTCCATCCCTCTGGGCCCCTGGGAAGGGTCAGGGCTTCAGCTCGGCCCGCCCCTCCCCTTACCATCTCCGTAGGCTGGCCCAGGGTCCTCGGCCCAGGTAGGTGGGAAGGACACGGTGAGAGGGAAGCGGGGCCGGTGGGAGGTCAGGAAGCTGCCAGGCAGACCCCCAGGCTCTCGGCCCAGGGGGCTGGGGGGTCGCTCAGTGGCGGAGGTGGCCAGCAGTTCCTGGAGTATGTTGATGGGTGAGACGGTGAGCTCCCAGTTGGTGATGCCAAAGTCACGCAGGTGGGCCCGGGCGTGGCTGGAGAGGCCGGCCCGTGTGTCGAAGCCGGCCCCGCAGAAGTCACAGCGCATCAAGCTGAAGGTGCTAGGGTCAAAGTTGGCCACTGTGAAGAGAGGACATAGACTGCCTGAGGTCGGGAGGGGGCTACTCTTCAGCCCCAACCCCTCCCTGTTCCCAGGGCTTCACCCTGCACTGCCTTCCTTCCCTGTGGCTGTCCCTTTTGCTCTCAGCTCATTCACCCCCCTCCCCAATCCCAGGAAGCCTGACCCTCCCAGGTCCCCTCTTCCCATATCTGGCAGCATCAGGCCTCTCTCCCTCAGAATCACTTCTCCAGTTGTGGATTTGCAATGATCTGAGTGAACATTTGATTCACTCTCCTCCTGCCTCAGCCTCCAGAGTAGCTGGGACTATAGGCGCGCGCTACCACACCTGGCTAATTTCTCTTAATTTTTGTAGAGATGGGGTCTTGCTATGTTGCCCAGGCTGGTCTCGAACTCCTGGCCTCAATCGATCCTCCCACCTCAGCCTCCTGAAATGCTGGGATTACAGGCGCGAGCCACTACACAAGCCTTTTGTGTCTATTTTTGTTCTGGATCACTCCAGTGCTTTAAATATGTGTTGGATAAACAAATGGAGGAACAGATGTAACGCCCTCTGCTGGGAGCCTTCTCTGAGCCCCCCAAGTGGAGTTGGGGACTCCCTCTCTGCTTCCCCAGCCTCCTAGTTCCCCCTTTCCCCTAACTCAGGCCCCCGATTACTCAACGTCATTACTGTCTGGTTTCCTGGCTGTCCACTCCTTAGCCCCAACCCCTAGTGTATACACACACGCACACTCTCACACTCACACAGACACCATACCAGCACCTCCTTAAGCGGGGTCCATGTCTACCAATATCAGAACCACCCAGGGTGCTCCCGTTGGAGACAGACCTCTGGAATCAGAACCTTGTTGCCTAGGAATCTGCATACCTCACAGGCAGCCCCAGAGGGTTCTGAAGCCGGCCATGGGTCCCACCCCTCCTGGACTGGGCCACGAACTTCAGGAGAGCAAGAACTGCTATTCCATTCACTGCTCTGTCCCCAAGCGCCCAGAACAGGGGGACCTCGCTCAATAAATAAATGTCTGTTGAATGAAGGAATAAAAGAAATGTTCTGCCCTGGGGCTCATTCCTCTGCCCACACTCCTTCCACCAGCTGGTGGTATAGCCAGGGCATCGGGACATCCCTGCACATCCACCGACAGGGTGCCCTTTGCTGGGGCTTCCAGGTGTCTCAGGAGCAGAGGCCACCTTCCCCCTGCTTGGCGCTAAGGGAGAATTTAGAGCACGGGTGGGCTGCCCAACCGTGTGTCTTCTGGGCCTGGGAGGGAGGCGGTGCCTAAGCAAAGCGACCCTACCTTTCTTCTTCTTCTTCTGGAAGGAGAACCTGCGCTCGATGGCCTTCACCTCCTCAGCGGAGATGAAATGCCGCACGTTGTAGCTGACGCCCACGCGGTTCAGGTGGCCCCGGACGTGGTTGGCCAGGCCGATGCCGTTGTGGAAGCGATCGGGGCAGTAGGGACATTTCCGCTCCTCGTGCTTCAGCGCCACAGCCGGGTCCCCATCCAGGAGCGTGTCCAGCCCCAGTGGGCCACCCAGTGGCGCGTCCAGCAGCAGGAAGTCCAGCGGGTGGGCCCCCGTCAGCCCCAGCTCCTCGGGCTGCAGCCTCGGGGGCACCCTGGCCGCCGCGGCTGCCATGACCTGCGGCCCGAGCTTCGCCACCATCACGACGGGGACCATCCCTTGGAGCTGCTGCTGCTGGGCCCACGAGGCCTCTGCCGACCGAAGGGCTTCTTGGAATGTTCGCTTCAGCTCTACAGCTGGCTGTGGGATGAGGCTGGGGGCAGGTGGGGGTGCGAGGTCCCCATTTTCGGGGGAAAAATCCATCTCAGAGGTCAGCACTATGTCGTCGTCATCATCGTCCTCCTCCTCCTCCTCCTCTTCACTCCAAGGACGCCTCCGGTCCCCCAGTCCCTGGGGGCGGACAATGCTTTTCTTCCTTCCGAGCTGTAAGGAGTAGGGGGCAGATGCTAACGGGGAGGGAAAGGCCAGCCTTCCGAGAGGCCTCTGGCTGGAGCCATGCGGGAGTAGCTTTGACAGCGGGAAATCCCTCATGCCCAGCTGCTGGTAGCTTGGGCCAAAGGCCAGGCTGGGGTCGTATCCAGCAGGGCTGTCCCGGCACATGGGGGCCAAGCGCGGCTCGGCTTTGCCAAAGCAGTCTTCTGCAGCGTCAGGGAAGCAGGCGTACACATCCTGGCTAGTGCCCGGCTGGCTGGTGGGGTCATCCTCGAAAGCCTCGCCATCCTCCTCCCAGTGGGGACGGGCGTGCGCCAGCCTCACGTGCTCTCTGAGCAGGCTCTCGCTGGGAGCGGGGAAGCCACAGAGGACGCAGGCACTGAGGCCCGAGGCGGCTCTGTAGGGCTGATAGACCAGGGTGTTGGCCTCCGGGCCTGGGCTGCCAGCCCCGCCGCCACCCCCGAAAGGCTCCTTGGCAGCCCGGCCTGGCGGCTCGCGCACGTGCATCTTGGCATGCTGCACAAAGGCCCTGGAGGAATTGGTGCCAAAGACACACTTGGGACACTGCAGCCGCGCCTCCCGGCCCTCGTCGCCCGGGGCTTGCTTGAGCTTCTGGATCTCCTCGATGATCTTCTCCCGGGAGGCCTGGTGCAGCTGCCGGTGCTGCTCGAGGGTGGCGGGGTCCGAGAAGGCCCAGCCACATTCGCCGCAGGCCAGCGGGGCCAAGTCGGCAGGCGGCTCCTGGCCCGGGGCTCGGCGGTGCTGGCTCATGTGTTCCAGGAGGTGCTCCTTCTGCTTGAAGTAGATGCTGCACTCGATGCACGGGAACACGGCCGGCTCCTCGTCCTCGTCCTCGTCCAGGCTGGCCGTCCCTTCGGCCACCTCCTCCAGCAGCTCACACAGGTAGGGCCCGGTCCGAACGGTGGGCAGCAGTGGCTGCAGCCGCTCCACGGACGCCTCCGAGTTCACCGTCCAGGTCTGCGTGGCCACTTCCGCGGCCGACGTGGGCATGCCCCACTCAGACGGCTGGGCCAGCCCCTCGAGGTCCTCCAGGTCTTCTCTGGTGCCCACCACTGTCACGTCCAGTGCCTTGGGGGTGTCTTCCATGGGCACGAACACCCTCCTGAAGGGGGCGAGCGGTGGTGGCGGTGGCTGGGGAGGCAGGTCCAAGTGCAGCCCTGTGTCCTGGGGGGGACCCTGCTCATCCTCCTCCTGGAGCCAGTCGAACCTGTGGCGGCCCCGGGGAGCTTTCTCCATGAGCCTTGGTTCACCCCGGTGGTGCGAGAACCTTCTAGAGCCCTCAAGCTCAGCCTGGGGTTTCATGGTTCTCACAATGACCGAGTCCTCGAACCTCCGCTCAGATAGGATGCCCTCCCCGGCCTCCTGGACCATGGGGTGCTCCCAGGGCCCCCGGCCATCAGGGGGGCCAGGGAAGTGGCCCAGGAGATGGGGTGGCGGGGAGCCCGGCCGGAAGTCCAGGCTGCCTCCGTCCCAGCAGCTGCAAGGAAGTGCCAATGGGGACAGGTTAGCGGGGGCCTCAGTTTCCCTTCCTAGGATGGTGCGATGGGGGTCCTCCCAGGCGTCTGAGGCAGGCCCCAGAGGTCCAGCCCAAGGGTGACCTCAGAGTGGCTAGGAGCATCGGGGTGAGGGTAAGGGGGGGGTCCACATGGACCCTTTGGGAGCCTCTGGGGCAAAAGCCAGGTGCAACTTCCAGGACACACCTGTCCACATAGGCCAGCCCCACTGCATCATGGTGGAACGTACAGAGACCACACCTGGGGCCAAACGGGGATGTGGCCACCTCCACGGAGTGTCCTTAAGTCTGGCGGTGCAGTCAACTCTCACCTCTCCCCAGGGAGGACCCAAGGCTCTGACCTGTGCTCGAGGCTGCTTCTGTTTTGGTCCTCCCCAAACTGGGGTGATTTTGTTAATTTCGTTTCACCTGTGCTCCCAATTGGGTGACTGTTAACTTTGTGATGGGACAGTTTGAAGGACATCAATTTTCCCTGTATCTCCCTTCTTGGAAGGGCAGAGGCAGGAGAGGTGGAAGGTCCCTGCTCAGCCTCTGGCCCCAGTGACCCTGAGTTTTTTGGACAGTGGGTGGGGGTGAAGTGGGGGGAGGTGAGGCAACCTCTCTGGGCCTCAGTTTTCTAATCCTAAAAATGGGGGTGATTCCCAAGAACCGGGAACCACCCCCTCGTCCTTTATAACATCTAAGGAGGTTTCTCATCACCATAATCAACAAAATCATCACGCAAGGCAGGTGGTTATTTAAATGCACAACCAAAGCCTCAAGCGGGGACCATGACCCCACGCAGCTTAGGATGAGATGACACAACTCAGTATTCAGGAAATGTTTCACTTCACCGGATGCCTGGCTCACTGGGGGTTCTTATCATGACTGTCCTGATCAATTCTCCCCTCGTTTTCAAGATCCTGCCTCCATGAGGGGACATGGATCACACCCATGGGACAGATGAAGAAACGGGCTCCACCTGGATGTTGAACAGAAAACACGGGGTCCCCTCTCTAAGCTCCATCAGTGACATGCCATACCAACAGGACCATCCTCCTGGGGGTGTGGCGAAGATGCAGTGGGCGGGAAACACCTGCGTGGCGGCGAGCCCAGCACGTAGCAACTGTTATTAATCCCGATAAGATTATTATGACCTATTAGCACCCGCCAAGCCGTTTAATAAAGTGTGGCAGCCACCAGCATTGCTTTTGATTCCTGCACTCACCCAAGGCCCCTTGGCACCTCAAGGCAAATTTGTGGGATGTATCTTATGGATTCTATTTTGCAGATGAGGAAACTGAGGCTCAGAGAGGCCTAGCATCATTCTAAGGGTCACCTGACAGAGAGAGGGCTCCAAGGATCCAACCTCCAGGCTCTTGCCTCTGTGGCCCTGCAGGGGATAATGAGAGTTGACTGTCTGTGTTCAATCCCAGGACCTCCCCCGACCCCCAGTACATGCCCGGGGGCCGCCACTCCTCCTGCCTGGTTTCCTGATTCCCTCCTGTCCCCTTTTCATTCCCCAGGGGCTTCTCTCGGGCCTGGGCACATCCTGCTTGCCCCCCTGCCCTCCCTGAGGTCAGGGCCAGCATGGCACTCACCAGCTGCTGATCCGATGGGTGGCGGAGGTGGCACGGGGGAGGGCTTCGCTGAGGCCGGGATGGGGCTGCCCGTCTGCAACAGAGAGGGGAGACCCTGAGGGGCTGGGGTCCCCCTGGCCGGGGCCCTCCGCACCCCAGCTCCAGGAACCCTGCCGGGCACCTCGCAAGGGCCCTGCTGGCTCCTAACTCTTCTCCCTGAGAGGCCTTTGGCCTCCGCACTCCTGAGCCCTGGAAGGGGTTTCTTTGGAGGAGTCCCCTGGGCTCCCCTGGAGGGCCAGACCCCAGGGGGCTTACTGCCTTCCAACTCTCCTCTCTTTCCCCTCACCTGGCAGCCAGGGTGATTTTTTAAAGTCACACCCAGGTGAGAAAACTCACCTGGCTTGTCATTATACCTGTAACAAAAGCCAGCTTCCCAAATGCCACCTACAAGGCTATGAGGTCAGACCTCTGTGGATCTCCCTAACCTCACCTCCCTCCTGTGGCCCCTCATTGCCTCTGCTCTGACTGCATGGGCCCCTCGTGAAGCCTCAAGCCCACCTAACTCTTTCCAGCCTCAGGGCCTTTGCACGTGCTGTTCTCTCTGCCCAGAACACCCTTCCCTGGCCACCTACTCAAGTGAGCCCCTATGATTTTCTCTCAGCACCTGTTTTATTTCTTTCTTAGCATGCCCTGAAATTACCCGGCTCCCTCTCTGAATGACTCCTTGTCTAGGTCCCCTGCTAGCACCTAAGTTCCACTAGAGCAAGGGGACTTTGTCAGCCTGGTTCACTGCAGCATCTGAGCGCCTGGCACGCAGCGAGTGCTCAACAAATCCTTGCCAGATGATGAACGAGGAGCCTCTTCTAGCCTGAGCTGCAGAAGGCCCATCCCTGCCTTCTGGCCCGCCTCCTAGGCCTAAGCCCTAGAAGGGAAGCCCCTCCCGGGATCCCAGCTCCCCTCCGCCCCACCAAAACACAGATAGAGCCAACTCTCCATTATCCGCCTGTAGAGCCAACGCCTGGAGCGACCGCAGGAATCCTGGCCTACGTCTCCTCTGCCCGCTACACTTGCCCGACGCGGCGAGCATGCCAATCGGGGAACGGGCCAACTGCCCGGGCCAAAGTTAACACGCTAGGGGAACTTGTGTCCCGTCCAGAGCCTCGACAGATGCGATTGCTGGATTCGCCTCAATTTGAGGACAGTCCAAAAAGAGGGCTGGGGCTGGGGTTAATTCTTTTTCCAATCCCTCATCATCTAATTGGCCCAGGAAATTGACAGTGGACCATCAAGGGTCAAGGAATTTAAAATAGGAAGGCAGGATTGGTCAGAAAGGTATGGTCACTGCCTAAGCGGCTTTCTCTTGAGCCCAGGAAAAGGGCTGAGGCTGTTGTGTGGCCTCTGGGAGCTGGCGTGGGGGGTGCAGAAATTTGCGTGTCTACAGCGGGTTTCTCAGCCCTAGCACTGTTGACATCTGGGGCCAGATCACTCTGCGTGGTGGGGCCTGTCCTGGAAGGGGTTGAGGAACATCCCTGGCCTCCACCCTCCAGATGTCAGTATCTCCCTGCCCCACGGTCATCACAACCACGAACGTCTCCAAATACTACCAAAGTGTCACCTGGGAGGAGGTCGGGGGGCAGAATCACCCCGTTTTTAGAACCGCTAGGGTAGCCTAACACGGAGCAGGGCTGTGCTTGGATACAAGGGCTGGTTTTAGGGTGGGGTGTTGGAGAGGGTGTAAAAACTGGGGAGGCAAGATGTGGACCAGCCAAGGGAGCAAGACCCCAGATGCAGGGTCTCTAGAGAACACGCGGGTCATAGATGGGACTTTTCCAGGAGAGGGCAACTGGTGTGCGTGTAACCAGCCCCAACGCGACCCGGAGGCGTGGGTCTGAGGGTCCCGGGCATCCTGTTTCCGAGATTCTGGGACCCCAGGCTCCTGAGATTCCAGGCGTCCCAGATTTGATGATTCTGCGGTTGCCACTGTCTAAGATTCCACGAGCCAGGGGGCCGCGCTGGCCTCTTTGTCTGAACAGCTCCGGCGAGGCTCCTATTTTTAGCGGCAGCGACTTTGGAGGAAGCAGGCCAAGCTGGACCCCGTGTCCAAGACACCTAGGACGGGGGCGGTTTGCTGATGGGGATCCAGGGGTCCCTGTGGGTCAGAGGAGGTGCCTGGGATGCAGCCCTCATGTAGTAGCCATGCCAAGGTGCCCTTATGGACTCCTGCCATACAGGGTCTCCCAAGAGGGACTGTAAATGCCACCAGCGAGGGGCATCTGCAAGCAGTTTGAACCCCAAGCCTGGGGCTCAACTTGATAGATTAGCCAAGAACCTAGATTTTGGAGCCAGAGAGATCCGAGTTCAAGGTCCCAGTGGTGCCCGAAGGGCACACGTTTCCTACTCCGGGCCTCGGTTTCCTCCTCTGTTCAATGGGAACAACCCAGTCTCACAGGCCGGTGATGGGTGCCGACGACATCACGGGAAATTCTCCATCCAGAGAAGCAGCGGCAGAGGGAAGGAAGGGTGGTGGGAGGCCCCGAGGGGGTGGGGGCTGGCATGGCGACGTCCCAGGGTGGAAGCTGGTGGCGGCTGGACCCAGAGCTTCAGGCCCTGCCACTCCAGGTTCTGATTTTCTCCCCAGCACTGGGGGCCCATGAGGGCAGAAATGGTGTGGCATTTATCTCTGGGTCCCCTGTCCCCCATACAACACCAGGCATGCAACACACTCTTCTTCCATGCGGACCGGCTCAGCCCCTCAACCTTTGCTGCCCGAGAGGAGTATTGGGCAGAGGCTGCAGGGGTGACATGGGGGCCCAGGCCAACAGCCCTAATGGAGGACAAAGGAGGCAGCAGACACATCCCTGTTCAGGCTGAGAAGTTTGGAGGTGGCCACCCCAGGGTGTCCTTGGGGGGTGGAGTGGGGATGAGGGAGGGCCCAGGAGCAGCAGCCCCAGAGGCTGTTCCTATTTATAGACATCACAAGACTCCCAGGGCAGGTGCCCATATCGGGGAAGGGGGGAGTCGAGCAGGCCGAAAGGGCAGTGGGAGAGACGTGGTGTCCCAAACTCAGGTGTCCTCCAACCTCCAGGCTGCGACCCCGCTCTGAGTCAAGCTGCCCCGCCCCTGACCCAATGTGCTGAGGGAAATTGTTCAGGGTGGGCCTGGCCCCCCTCGGCAGTTACGCCCCTCCTCCCCAGGCTGTGAAATGCATGCGTGCATGAGACCCTGGCTGACTGCCCGGGGCAGGGGGCAGTGAGGATGCCTACCTTTCCCCCTCTTTCCAGACCTGGGGTATATGCCGGGTAGAGAAGAGATGCCCAGTCCCTCAGACCAGCCCCGAGACCCCAGAGACTGTACCCTCAGACTCACGCAAAGTCAAGGTCCTGCCCCTGCCCTTGCCAACTGTGTGACGTGGGACAAGGTCCTGCCTCTCTCTGAGTCTCAGATAATAATGGTTTGGAGGAGGGGATTGCTAAGGTTCCCTGAGTGCTGTTACTCTGGTGTTGGGCTAACCCTCTGCCCTCGGGGTCTCCCCTTGCCATCGCCCTGTCTGACACCTGCAGGTGCCACCGGCCACCTCCAAGCCTTTGCATGTGTGGAGCCCCCGGCCCCTCTTGTCATTCTCCTTCATTCAACTTCTTCCACTTTCTGCCAACTCCTGGACACCCCCTAGACAGGCCAGGTGCTTTCCCATCGCCGCCCCAGCAACTCAGTCATAACACCTGGTAGTATGTCTGTGCCCCCAGCCTTTGACGGTGGGGTCCATGACAGCAGGGGTGGTGTGTGCTTGGTCCCTGCTGTGCCCCAGTGCCTGGCTGCAAGAAGGCACTCTCTAAACATCTGAGCATCACGAGTGGTAACGGTGGGCCAGGACAGGACAAGGATCTGCAAGGACACCACGTGGTGGTTAAACGTGAGGGCGGTCAAGCTACGTTCTACCCTAGCCGTGTGATCTTGGGCAACTTGCTTCACCCCTCGGGGTCTCGCTTTCCCCATCTCTGACATGGTGATGAAAATAACTAAGGCTACCTCACAGCATTCTTCTGAGAATGACATGAGATGCGTGGCAGGTAGGAAACCCATCAGCAGGTGCTTGGAGGTTTGGGAAAACCAAAGCCTTTGGAGCACGCCTCGGAGATGAAGGGAGAGGTCTGATGCATCAGGCTACTGTTCTCTGGCCACATCAGACTCCCAGCTGGTCCCTGAACACACCAGGCTCCTCCCCACCACAGGGCCTTTGCACTTGCTGTCCCCTCTGCCTGGCATGCCCTTCCCACCATTCATTCCATGCTCCCCTCAAACGCCACCCTCTCAGGGAGGTTTTCCCAGGGTCCCCGGGCACAACTCTGGCACTCTGTTTAACCGTTTACAGCATCTGTCACTAGCTGCCCTTATGGTATTTGTTTAGCCGCTGCTGTCCCTCTGCCCTTGGAGGGTAGGATCTCTTGTCTCTTTTGTTTATAGTTGTATTCCCAGCACCTAGAACAGAGCCTGGCATACAGTAGGTGCGCACTATTTAATGAATGTGTAATAAATCCTGAGGTGTGGAGAGTGTAAGATAGCCTATTACTGGTAAATCGAGGCATGAAGGGGTGGGAGGCATCGCTGACTACCCAGTCTCTACCTAGCCACTAGAGGGCACAAGCTGTTTCAGCCCAGGGCTTCAGAACAGGACTCAGAGACAGCAAGAGGGAGCTGGGGACAGACTGATGGGAGCGGGCTACATCTGGGGCGCAGGCGCACTGGGGTGGGGAGCTTGGGGTGCTGAGATGGGCATCTGGACCCAATCAGTGCGCTCAGAGGAGAATGCAAGGCTGACCCAAGCTCACGTCCTAGTGCCCCGCTACCCACAGGGGGACCTTGGTCTGGTCACTGGCTCCCTGGGCATCTGTTTTCACAACTGTGACATGGGAAGCCAAACAGAGTGCGAAGAGAAGGCTCTGGGCCCAGGTGGCTCTCAGCCCCTGCTGGGCTGGGGGTGTTGGCTCTTGCTGAGCCTTAGAGATGGGGCTGGATGCTCCCATAGGGCCACAGGGCCCACCCTCTTACCAGAAATGCCACCTCTGCCATCCAGAATGTCTCGGGGGCCCTCCTTGGTGACAGGCAGGTAACGGGTGGACCGGAAGATGCCACCTTCCCCCTCAGCAGCCTCAGCCACACCCTCGATGTCCTCCCTCGGCGCCGGGCCGGGCAGTCTCTCTGGGCCTCGAGGACGATCTGGTGCAGCCAGGCCACCTGCCAGGGACCCCTCCATGGGTGCTCTCTGCTGGGCTCCACTCAGCTGCCAGGCTGGCTCAGCGGGGCATTGTGGGTCTGGGTGGGGTGGGGTGGGCAGAGAGAGGGAAGTGCTTAGGGGACATAGGAAAGGGACTCTGCCTCAGTTTCCCCTCCCTCAAAACCCCAGTCCTCACCCTTGTACTTTACTGCCTCAGTTTACCTCCCAGCCCAGGTGAGCTAAGTAAATGGTCCTGAGGCCCTATGTATGCACATTATATCTCAACAGCCCCTACCCTCAGCATGCCTCAGTCTCCCCATCAATAATTCCTCTCTTTACACAGATCCTGCACTGCCTCAGTTTACCCCATTTTTACACATGCACACTCAGCCAACCTTGTGTTCTTCCATCATTAATCCTACTGTTTCTTCCAGATGCCTTTCTTGGTTCACACACAGCTGCACTTTCCCCACTGGTGCCCTCACTTCCACGCACATGCACACCCTATGGCCGTGCCTCCGTTTCCTCACACGAATCCCAGACACTTCTACACTCTGATCCTATACACTGTCTGGAGTCCCACCATCCTCACCCCTTCCTTCACTTCCCTCCCTTTGGTTGCCCAGATCAATTACCCTGCACTTTTCCCACACTCCAACCCTTCCCCCAACCGGACCTTAGGGTTCCCCAGCATTAACTCCTTCACCCCCACACACAACCTCAAGTGACCCCAGCATTAACCCTTTCTCTTCTCCCCAACATTATCCCTCATGCACACTCAGCCTGTGTTCCTCCATTCCCACCCCCCACCCTCCAACCAAGATTGCTCTAGTCCGCGGGCCAGAGAAACTGATGGGGCTCCTGGTCCAGAAATGAAGACCCTAGGGAGGGGGGGCTGTCCTTTCCACCTATAAATACCTTCAAGGTAACGGCGGAAAGTGAAGGGCAGGAATGAGGCTCCCTCCCCAGGGAGATGGTGGGGATGCCGGGCCCAGGCAACCGGGGCGGGGCCGGGGCTCCAGGCCTGGTTTCAGGCGCTGCCCTCGGGGGCCTGGGGGTTCCCAGGGGGCTCGTCCGTGGGCTGGCAGTCTTGGCGGGGGTCTCTGCCCAGGCCCGAAGGAAGCACCTGCGGTTGCCCACCGGGTGGGCACTGCCCGCGGGGAACCGGCGGGACCGCAACTTCGGAGCACTTTGGCAGCGTGGGGAGGGGGCTCCCGCCCGGACGCCCCCCAGGGGTCGCAGAGGTGGGGGCTGCGCCGCGCCGGCGCACCCCTCGAGGGGCCAGGTTCTGGGGGATGCGCCCTCCGCCCGTGCACCTCGGGGCGGGAGACCCCGCGGGACGCTCCGAGGTAGGGGGGACACCTGCCCCAAGACCCCCGCCCCTCCCCCCACCTGC